TATGAGTAATGATAATTTATGCTTGAAATGTCATCAAGTAAGTATTATACTGCATCACAATGTGCGTTGTAAATCATATAAATAAATCTACTTTGAAGAGAAAAGAGACGGTAATTCAAAATAGCAACAGATTCAGAAGTTGAAACCAGAACAGTATCATAATTTGGTTGGTTATAGCTAGCAGAAGAATCCAGGACGCGCGTTTCGTCCTATTTGTGACTCACTGGTCAGCTGGACGTACCTGCACCCCAGTGATGTTGTTCCCACTGAGACTCGAACCTCGTACCCATTGCTTGGCGTCAGAGCAGTATGATTTAAACACGGTACAAACAAAAACATGCATTTATAACTTCAAGGTCAAATAAAGAAATCTAAGGAGAATACAATACCAACAGTATCAACTATAAATATGACATAGTTGGAGACGCCTGTTTACGTAAATAGGTGTGTTAATAAAAATTAAATACTGCGTATGTGTACACATCATGCAATTGGTATGCGGTAGTATATAGTTCGAAGTACATTTGAACTTCAAGCATATCCAACGGACATAAAAGTATCATATGAAACTATAAACGTGATGCCAAATTTTATATTAATAAGCCTATGACAGTACTGTGTCTAAATGTTAGGGTACCCAGTCAAATAGATTAACCAGAAGACCTGTCAAATCAAGTCATATATTGAATGGTAGCATTCCTTTGAAAACGGTTTTTTGTAAACTTCCTCTATTTCATTTGGAGATTTGTTGATTTCAAGTTGGTACTGATTACGGGTTGATATCAGTTGGGGGAACCATTGAAGAAAACCTTGGAGCACTACACACCTGTTTCTTCCTAGTATATGGGACTTCTCACCAATAAGCACCTACGACCCTACCAGGGGTCGGACTTAGGAGCTTCATGTTACATGGCAACCATGTCATCATTGAGCCAATAGTCCATATTTGCCCTCTAATTTGTCTGACGATAATATCCTGAGAGGAGTTTCATTTCAAGTGTAATTTGACTTGCTTGTAGATCTCTGTGGCTACACATTGATTTTGTAATGTGTTCACAAGATATCTTTATCATTAATGTATAACTGACAAGTTATTAATACTGAACAATCAGTAAAAAATCTGGTAACATCATGTGGTATTGGATAGTGGAAGTACAGAAAAACAAAGGAATTGAGAAAACACTTATTTGTCTGAATATGTTAGTTACATTTTCACGGCAAAAAGAAAAACTCATTTTCTTTCTTTGTAACCACTAGCTGTTGATACATTTTCGTCTTGCCCGTAGGTAGGTTGTTGCACGGGGATGCATAGAGTAATGTGAGTTTAGTGGTGGCATGAGAGTTTTGAAGGGAAATGAGGAAGAGAAGAAAGGTGAACCGACGACTCAGCAAGTACACAGGATGTACTTACATTTAATCATAAAACGTAACTGACAAACGGTACAGCTTGACAAAAAAGGTGAGGTAGTCTAGAAATATAAACTGAAAGCAGGATGAGTAAGATTTCGAATGCGTTACATCTTCTCAGATCCATTTGTGACGTAACAAAACTTAAAATAAAGAGGATTCCTACCTTATTTTGACCTGTATTCAAGTGCTACTTTTTTATAAGTAGGATTGACCTTACATCTCAAAGGATATCACTTGAATAGTTTGGCTGAAATGAAACAGCTGTTTTGCTGAGACTTTTCATTACACAGTGACAACAGTTAGAGGACATCCAGAACTAAGAATTACTAAGCAGTTGCAGTACTGTATCATAAACTGACGAAATTTTGATTATTAGGTATTGCTACATACCGGATTTGGGCATGTGAACATCTGAGAAATGACAGATTAGAGTGAACCAGTTTTGTCAGTGGCAATTTTTGTGGTTTGAGTGTGTGTAACAGTACTAGTGTAGTAGGCGTTGCTGACCACAATGGATATAAATAGTATATATTGAGAGGACGATGAAAATCAGAGAGAATTACCAACAATGGGTAAAGATTCTATCCAAAGAAACCCAACAGAGAGTGTGGGAGTATTAAGAGCAAATCAAGATAGAAAAAGAAGAAGCAGAGGAAATGAAGCACATTATGCAAATCACTGTCTTAGTGCAAGGTGCACCATACTTGATGAGTACTGCACAAGATGTCAATCTTAAACATTCCATCCTGCGCCGCAGTCTCCTCGTTCCCCGCACTAGCTCCAAATGTGTTTCAACGTGGATCGAATAACACGAGCAGATATCACCTGGGCTTGGCCGGGATGTTACAGGCCCTATCCTACCCGACACACGTCAACGACAGTTAAACCGAAAGACACACCACAGTATTCAAAAAGGTGTAATTGATTGATTTGCTCGCTGTTCAATGTATATAAACAAAATTAGTCTCAATATTGACGTGATATTGGTACGTATAGTATTTGTTTATCATATCTTCTCAGTAACTGTATTGATAGTGTAAATTGTTCTGATTTGCACTAACAACGAATGAATTCGATTTCTCTCTCTAATGAACAGTGTTCTTGTAGGGCCTATTCCATATCGGCTTTCTGAAGATCGATCTTTGAAGAAAGCCATACGATCTCTTTTCAATAAAATGACCAAAAGATGAGATTCCAAGTTTTATTGCAAGCTGACAGACTGATGACAATCACTGAAGTCATCGACTATGGTTTCAGTTTCTGTATTTTCATCATATTTCTTGAATCTGTCATGCATAGTTCTCTTATATAGCTGGATACTATCAACGGTTGAATGCAATGGACTGTTCTTTAGGATTGTCATGAAGCAATTTACCGATGTAGACTTACAGATCATTCACTCAGCGTGAATTTCAACCCTATAATTTACTAATCTTGTTGTATCACTGGAACATAATTTTGTATTATCAGTCGATCGTATTCTGTCAAGCTGTAAAATCAATAAATTATATTTTCCAACTCTCTAGCATAAACACTTTTCGATTAGAATACTTTTCTCTACTCCATAAAGACAGGGAATATGTGTGTTGTCATTCCAATGTTCACTTCTATATAGGTATTTCAAAAGTATATCGGTTGGAATGCTTATTTCTAACTGAATACAATCACCTTATAATTAGTTCTAATGATATTGCGATCATTTACACACGTATGTTCCACGTGTGTGTGAAGGTAGATTGTCTTTTACAAGGGATAGAAACTGATCATCATATACTGTCACTTTACCCCACAATGTTTACTGACCCAACCATCATGAAGCCTGTAACTATTATTCATTACTTTAGTCACTTTGCATAGAAAATTAATGAATATTTTTATTCCTTAAGGCCTTAAATTTAGCATTCGTCTTTTCCCTAAAAAAGGATCTTAACTTGTATTTTAACCTAACTACTTAGTCACAGGTAAACTTGATACCATACATTCTTATTTGTTGTCTTTTCTGTTTCAATCAACGTGCTTCTTAGATCCTATTACCTAATTCTATCAACAAGTATACTTGACTCTTAAACCTGTAAAGAAACTAACTTCTCGGACTTACATGGTTTTTGGCTAAAAGGTATACCTTGTAAAGGCAAGTAAACTAGGTACCTTTTATAACTGATTCTGTAAGTCTAACTGTACACAACATTACGATTTTCTATGTATCTAACTGTTGAAATGTAGTCTACAATTTCCTAGGCTTTTCAAATGATCAAGCGAAGTTAGAAAACCATTGTAAACATTCACGCCAAAGCATCATGATAGTGTATTTAATCAGTACTTGGGACTAGACAACATGAAGTGCACACAACCCAGTCCAATAGGGAGTAAAACTGTGGCCCGAATTGATTAGCGGTAACATCTAAGACTGCAGTACTGGGTAACACGAGTTCGAACCTCAGACGGGACATCAGTTGCGTCAAGGTTACAGATAAGCCTTACTGACAGGTGGGGAATGAAAACACGGAACCTAGGTCCAAGGCTTCCTGTCGACTGCTAGTGCTTCTATACCAGTGAAGAGTAGTATGTCCACAACACGCTATTCAGATCACAGAGTGAGGAGCATGGTTCACAGTTAGTTGACGATGACATCATAAAGGTAAGGTATAAAATAGTAGCGAGGGAAAGCAATCGACAGAAAGCTGGTAAAATAGTTACGAAATGGTACGATCTTAAGAAAATTATCTCATTGAGTAAGAACAAGATATGTATCAGCGAAGAAATGTTTCCTTTTAATGACTTCATTATCAGGCTGTACAGTCGTATTTGTACACGGTATAATTGCACTAAAAGGTTGCTCAGTCAATGTGCAAGATGTACATTAGGTGTTGATGGTGGTAATTGTTCAAGTGGAAGAAATAGAAAATGGATCACTGAATAAGGAGGGGTGAAGTGATAACAAGCGGTGAAATAAGAGACACGCGCTGTCAAAGAAGTGTAAAATGATGATAATTTAACTGAATTTATATATATATTATATATTTAATAGTTTCCGGTGTTGCTTCATTTGATCTTCCTAACAACCTCAAGTTTTAACAAAACATTCCCAATTTATTCTAATTAACCTGTTGTCTCGTTACCTAATGGTTTGATTGTTTGTTAACTCTACCACGTTTTCACCCCTTTATGCACCTTATAACCCTTTTTGTTACCATTCAACCTAAACGTCATCAACTAGTAGCATTAATATTATTTCAACCTCCCATTATTTAGGTTAAATCTTCCATATGGATTACAGTCTTTAAATATCATATGTATATATACACGAATGTACAGCTTGAGAATAAATTCCTTGAAAAGAGTCCTCTTCGCTGAATATCTTGTTTTTGATGTCACAATAGGAATTATAAATGTACAGTTCAACAATCCTAACAAGTTTATGATATTTCTCATCGATGCATGTACCGATGCATTACTACTAGTTATCTCTACTGGGACAACAAAAAGACGTTATAAACAAAAAATCGCAAAATTCTGTTATGCAAAATATACTACTGAATAAATATAGTAGTCGATGAAAAAACACAAAATAAATTCACATTTCAGTCATATCAAGATGATGACGGTGATATAATAAATCTAAATCCATCCAATAGAAGTGAATTGTTCATATTGTCAAATTCATTTATGCATAAACTAACCATATACAGCATTAAATAATAAGATTTATCTATAAATACGCCATTGACAAGAAACAAAAAAGTGATGAGAGGATTGATGAGGAGGTGTACACATGATTGCAGAATTATTAAAATATACAGTTTCTGCTCAATAGTAATACCTCATTCGTAGAAAAAAACACGAATGATTGAGAGAAAAAAAAGTAAACATGATCTTGAAAAACAATTATTTCTCCCTTTTCCTTTAGCAAAAAAACATAACAACAACATCAAGTCAATGCATGCATATAATTCGATGATGTAAGACCCCTAGGATCTTTATCTAATTTCTTGAAATTTTTCAAAATTGGATAGATATTATTGAAGGCTTCATAGATTTCTTCCGAACCTTTGCTCCTGTAAACACGTACAGAAGTGTAAAGAAAGATAAATTGATTAATTTACGAAGAAGTTGCTGATTAATTCAACTACCTGAGATAATTTTTTCTTAATAACCTATTGTTTCATAGGGGAAATAAGCATAGGTAATACTTGGATTTCTATAGCTAGGTACTTTTCAACAGAAAAAGGAATCTGATTGGTTCTTAGCCATCAAGAATCAGAAGAATCTGTACGAGTGATAGATATCATTGACATTGAATTGAACAAACTACAGAAAATTCTCATACAAAATAAATACCCATCCAGATTTATCGAGAGAATTAAAATAGAAAACGGAGCAAGTACTCAAAGCTCCAGAGAAGACCTTATTTATGAAAGTTAACTTCAAACTTGATACGGGAGCAGAGATGCTGGAGAAGAGGCTGTTCAAATCCCAGCAAAGCTACAAATCAACTTCTTTAGTCAGCAGTTGCTTCCAAGGTGTGTTAAGGACAAGTAGCAAGTTTGGACCATTTCCTGTAGAGCTAGTTATATAGGCCATATAAAGCGCACACATTTCAAATTTATCTCTGAGCATTATCCTTTATAGTTGTTGAGAGGAGAATGTAAATCAACTAACAGTTCAACTCTTGAACACTTGGTCAACTCTGAATATATATAGCTCGACCAGAGTATTCCTTCAGTGTCATTTATAGAGTCAAATGGAATAGTTCAAAAGGTGTACACCTTCGACAGTTGTGCACAGCAGAAGCACTGGTAATTCACCAATTCAAACCTGGTCTCTTGGTGCAGAAGAAGTATGTCCAATCTTCAATCTTACTATAGTCTTAACACTTTCACAATCTTTTTGATTCCATTATAATTAGTTAGGTTACTACTACTAGCACCTTTATTATGACCTTTGTTTCTTTCTTCACCTTCTTTATATCCATCAAGTGGACACTCAACTATCGCATCTCATATCTACTGACAACTTTTCGCTTGTCAAACCCATTGCCTTCCTCGTTATTTCCATTGTCTAAAAGATTATTACGCAACTACTCTCCATTCTTGATTTCAGTTTTTAGCACTAGCTTAATGATACAACTAAACGCTATTGTTTAACAATAGACTATTGTAAGTTTTGGATATATATATATGTATATATATGATTGTACAAAAGAACATAATTACATTAGTGGGTCGTAACTCACTGACCAGACTATGAGTCAAACAATACTACCACTGCTTAAATTGAGTAGTTAGAAATCACCTAGGCTGATCTGTAGTATTTCGTCGGTCAGATTAGAGACGTCTAATCACCGTAAGCTCATTTCGATCGTTTGGGGGTAGAGCCAACTTGTCAGTGATGTACCGGAATAGCTAAAATAGGATGGTCAATTTGCAAATGATTTAAAAATTGTATAGTCCATGTCGAGATTTCTCAAAGTTGAGTGTCAAAAAGGTTTCTGCTGGAAACCACTCAGCTGAGATCACAAAGTGTAATATCTGACACAAACGTGCCACGAACTAGACAAAGATACTACTACTGAACAACTTCAGTGGTTGGAAACCACTCAAGGGCCTTCAGCTAAATTTGTCCGGGTACATCGCTGATGAATTAGTTCAGCCACAAACGGATGAAATGGCTGTACAGCATTTAGATAACTTTCATCTGCCTGATTAGTCCCTACACTACTCAATTTTTTCAGTAGTAGTGTCGTTGGCCAGTTTATGATACTTTTGTGTCACCAGTGGGGACCTTATTAACACCACAGTTGAAAAACTACTCAGCTGTGGGAATAGTAAACTCATTCATAAATGGATCATCCTAAAAGGCAAATTTGTCTTCTGATACCTATCTACTAATACTACAGGACAGTCAAAAGCCAGTAGAGTAAACAACAGGATTCGTACTTATAACCCACAAATGAAGAGTCACTAAAATTAAGTGTACTTTGACATTTCAAGCTATGAACACCAGTTTATACGAATATGAGATAGTCAAAACGGATTGCTGTGCATAATCGTTCATTTGAAAATCTAATAATGTATACTACCAGTCACGTTCCACTGGAGTGTGATATCAGTAAATTATTACCAATGGAACCCCATCTGAAATAACGTTAGTCGCTAAACTAATTTTTATACACACGACAGATGAAATACCTAGGCCATTACTGATAAATTTAAATCAAAAATCTCCAGGTTGTAAAAACTTGTCGGATTGGAGATATTTATTAACTGGTTATAAATCAGTCTATATTTCCTTCAAAATTTGCTTGTTAGGATGTTTCTACAATATTCAACCTGCCCGGTATACACACATGTAAGCAGAAACTATGAGTAAAGACAGTCTGATTAACTAAAATGTTCTCAATACAAGTAACCAAAGCATAATAAAATTATTCTTATAGGTATTATATTTTGACTATCCTGTTCTTTCTGCATTCAACATAAAGAACAAGATCCGGGTTTTCAATACCTACGTCAGTCAAGTTAGTGCTTCTATGTGATGGTTGAGAGACTTGGCGCGTTACGAAAAGCATTCCCAACAAACTACAAATATTGATCAACAACTGCCTACGCTGGCTCGTTACTGAAGATCAGATGGCCAGAAATAATAAGCAACAAGGAACTCTGGCCGGGCAACGAACCGACCAAGAACCTATCGCTCAACAAATATGCAGAAAGAAGTGGAGATGGATTGGGCATACACTAAGAAGACCATAAGGGGACATCACGCACCAGGCCAGTCACTCGAGTGGGATCCAGATGGGAAACGGCGAGTTGGGCGTCCTAGGGTGACAAACGGGAGATCATGTGAGGAAGAAATGAGAGCTTCTAGGCTGTCGTGGAGCCTGGTTCAAAAGTCTACAGAGAATAGAGTGGAATGGAGATGTGCTACTGAAGACCTATGTCCCACTAGGAACCCAAGGGACAAATAAAATAATAATAATCCTGTCAAACTATGATCCGCTGATGCATCGGTCGTCAAATTGGGAGGTATGGACAACTAAAAACACTAGTTTGCACATTTTCCAGATGAATATTAACTGATTTATTAAGAAACTACTTTTGGATACCATCATTTTTTTCGATATCCTGCTTAATACGTTGAAATGTCCTCAAAGTTTAGCACGAAAAATTTGGATGAACAGTTCAAACAAATTAGAATCTGAATTGTATAAAGTACAGTGTCTATGTGTACACTAGTAGCCTTTCCTACTAAAATTCCATCATCCATCTCAAAAACGATGAAGACTAATGTTGACTCAGGATGTTAAAGTTCATAGTGAGTTGTTCCCTGAGCTGTAGTTTCACTTGGTAAACATTCCAATGTCATCCTGAACATCATCAGTGTATGACTACAACATAATTAACTGTGCACCAATATCTACAGTTCAGCTTTCACTAATGAGGTTGTCTAGCATGATATTGTAACGTCTTCCAAGCAAAACTTCAGCTCACAAGACAATTCCATTAGAACGTCAAAAGTTTGTTCATCTTCGAACCAACTAATAAATGGATATGATCAATTTTCCAGAAATCTTCAGATAACAACTCCATCAGTCAAGTATATAAGGTTTGCTACGATAGCTGAAGGCTGAGTTTGTAGTATGTAGTATGTTTCTCAATTTTCTAGTATTGTAAGACAGGTAATCAATACCACTACTTTCTAGTGATAGCAAAAACAAACAGTAGCAAATCTATCTGTGATCCAAACTCTGGCCAGGAATAAACTTATGAAATCCTTTTTCTATAGACCAATATACCAAACTTCATCGATTTTGAAAAAGCCTTCGACAGCGTCGACCGAGAAGTAATTTGGCAGCTGCTTCAACACTACCGTTTCAGTGCCATAAACCTTTATCCACCTCATTCAACAGTAACTGTATGCTATATGAGGATGCCACATGCTAAGTGATTGACAACACAATGAAAGCTCAGTGACGCCACTGATGTGAGGACAGGGGTACGTACGACAAGGTTGCCACCTTCTATAACCGATGATCTTCATGATTGTGGTCGACTGGACTGGATCATCCAACGAACTGTGAGGAGGAAGAAGAGGGCATACGCTGTCTGACTGATGAAAAGACCCTAGAAGAAGATTTGGATTTCTCCGATGATGATTTATATCTAATCTCTTATGCCGCACAAACCTGAAGATCTACAGACAAAAATCAACAAGTTGGCAGAAGAGGCGAGGCAGAGCAGAGAAGGAAGATGAGACTTTCTTCAGGTGAATGTGGAGAAGACAAATGTGATGAAGATACACAACCAACAACAGCAGTAACAAGCACCAATCACAATCAACAGGAGAAATGTAAAGGTAGTTGTCTCTTTCGCTTACCTACTTACCAACCTAGGCAACATCGTTCCAACTACAGGTGGCAGCGGAGCTGGCACAGATGAGGATGTCAAAGCCAGGCAGAATCGGGAAAACAGTAAGACAGGCCTTACTTCATTAACCCGAAATCAGTGTGCAGATCTATTGCACTGCACTCCATTCAGCATAAAGTGTGAACAAGATTCGGACTTTCAACACTGATGTCAGTCAAGTAAGTCAGTGCTTCTTTGTGATGGTTGAGAGACTTGGCGCGTCACGAAAAGCATTGCCAACAAACTGCAGATATTCATCAACACCTGCCGGCTACACTCACTCGATACTGAAGACCGATCAGATGGCCAGAAAGAATAAACAACAAGGAAATCTGGCCGGGCAACGAACCAACCAAAAACCCATCGCCCAACAAATATGCAGAAGAAAGTCAAGATGGATTGGATTGGTCGCAGACTGAGAAGACCGTTTGGGGACATCACACACCAGGCCAGCCACTCGAGTGGAACCCAGATAGGAAACGACCAGTTGGGTGTCCAAGGCGAGGGTGACATGGAGGAGATGGTGTGCGGGAGAAATGAGAGCTTCTGGGCAGTCGTGGAGCTAAGTTAAAAAGATTGCAGGGAACAGAGTGAAATGGAGATATGCTACTGAAGTCCTATGTTCCACTAGGAACCCAAGGGAAAATAATAATGGTATACTAAACAGATTGATGCAGACCCCAGTCACAAAAGGAGCAGATATACTCGGTTGATAAGTGCCAACCTGCAAGCAAAAAACATATGAGAAAAGACTTTCTGTCAACTGATTCTTAACGTTCGATACATACACTGTCTGTGTGAGAGACAAAAGTACTCTACAAGTAAAATAAAACATCTTAGAAAGAATTAAGCAGTGTTAAAACAGAAATGGACCGACTGTTAATGCCTTACCAGTTAGAACAATTTTTCCAGAAACAAAGACTAGAAGGACAATTTTCGGCTTAGTCATCCGATATATTAAGCCAGGAAATAATTCTGGTTCATAACTAAAATTGTAAAAATGCACAAGCAAACTTTATAATTAGTTTATTTAGTGTTCAAGTACCGTGAAGCAAATTACAAAAAACTTTTATAATAATCGCCTTATTCCAAACAATTTTCCGCACAATCTGGAATCATCGTGTGCATAATGTTGAGGTCAGGTGAAGGGTAACTAGACCGGACAGGCAAGTCAATTGATGAGGTTGTGAACCTTAGTCGACTGAGATATCTGAGCATGTTCTCCACATGCCCAGCTACCATCTACCTAGACGTGCCATAATAGTGAAAAGTGGATAAGGTTAGAAAAAGGGTTCACGGTGGTCACACCATGACATGGCATCAGCCGATCAAGTCCCTAACGGTTGGTTTGAGTCGCATGGGAACATGTATAGACTGCCTAGCTGGGATCGTCGAGACGAGAGGAATCAATGGTTGAGGATGTTATGTTTCGGAAACTGCTATAGTCGCTAACGATGCACGGATTTCAACTGTCAGCCACCAACATTCAACAAATTCCTAGTTGATTCCCTACCCAACCCGACTAATTAATGGAGAAGACACGATGGATGTTTAAAATAATACTGTAGATTGGCTAAACCACCGTCTGTCTGTCTCACTCTAGACATGATAACATAAAGTACATTTTGATTGGTCCCACTCCAGACTAGTCATTTCTCTCTGTCCCCATATAAGAAGATTTTTGGTGAAATGGTTGAAAATCTGTCACCCCTTGACAGCTTCTAAAGCTTGAATATTCGCACTTACCGTTATCTTCAGATTGTTTGTCCTTTCATACAACTTTCTCTACCTTGATATCATATCACTCTTTTTCTATCCTCTTGTTCTTAGTGTACTACTATGGAGTGTGGCAACTTGAGGTGATGCACCAGTGTGCGAGGTTCGAGGCAAATAGATTGATCAGGTTGTGAAAGTACTGCGCATGTCAATCCATCACCTACCTCAACGTGCCACACCAGGGGTGGTTGGAATAGGGTTCAGGGTGACCAGACCAAGATGCGGCACCAGTCGATGAAGTCTTTAACTGTTGGTCTCAGTCGTCTCTTAGTATGACTTAATAAAGGGCAAAAGAAGATTTATTCAATTCATCTAGTTTGCAACATGTAGTCGATACTGGACATTCACCTTGGAATTTCTAATTCGATATTATTTACAAATTCCAACTAAAAATTTTCTTAAACGTTCACATCTGAATTTTGAGTTGTTATTCATCGTAGACTGACATCAGTTGGAGGAACAAAGGAAACCTGGGAGCACTGGACAGCTGTTTCGTCCTAGTATGGGACTCCTCAGCAGTGCACACCCACGACCCTGCCAGGGATCCAACCCACAACCTCCAGGTTCCGCGGGCAGCGCGTTGCCATCGAGCCACTGGAGCAGAATCCCATGCTTCATACTTCCAACTTCTGTTAGCTCACGATATAGCGCAACCGCCACCCAATGTCATCGTTGAGTAACTGTCCTCACGACCATCAGGCTTTGACTCCACCGGTCACGACTTCTCATTGGGACTTCGGGAATACTTCTCGAAGCTAGTCACCAATGAGGACCAGTTCAATTGAATTTTGAGGGAGTTGTGGACGAAACAGCTGTCCAGTGCTCCCAGGTTTCCTTTGTTCCTCCAGCTGATGTTAGTCTACGATGAATAACAACTTGAAATGTTTACATCTTCATTTACTGTGTATTTTAGAAGCCTTGGCAATTGAGTAATTTGAAGCCAGCTTTATGGATACAAAAACAATTTTTTAAATCTCTTTTGTGACCATAATCTTTACATGGTTAATGAATAAGGGGGCATCTGAATGTCATGAACATTGATTATTTGTAAGTTAAATTGTCTCAAATATTAGTTATGTGTTCTCTGTAGCTGGATGGCTTGAATGTGAAGCCCTCTCTCTCTCTCTCTCTCTCTCTCTTGTTGCTCACATAAATATAAAGTATCCAATCTCTAAGTGAAAAGTTAGCCAACTAATTACAACATACTACAATAAACTCACGTAGCAAATTGCCCCTGTGATAATACTAAACCTTCAAGACGAATATGAAAGCGAACATCACACGAGCCAACCATGTTTTGAATTTTAAATTCTTTGAAATGAGCCTGAAAGTAATAAAAAAAATTTATAAAAAAATCATCTATCGAATAAACAGATTGATATGGTGCATACTGAAATATACAAAGATATTAGTAGCTGCATACAACGGTTTAGCTATTAAATGCATCCCTTCAGCCTCTTATGAGAGATGCAGTTCAATGCCATGCACAAATCGATCATGGGTTTCACATGAGTTTATAAAGCTACTACTTGGTTAAAGTTTGAGCAGTGTAGATATGGCTTACAATAACTTCGACTAGTATGTAACTTTGGAGTCAATGAAATTAGCTACAGAGACTCAAAGCAATTCAGCTTAGTCTTAGTTGTATTGTATTCTCTGAGTTGGGTTGTTTAGTCGTGGAGCTTTCATTGTCTTTCTAGACGACATCTTCAGCACTACCTTCAGTATGAAGTGAGCTATTAATATCTCTCCATGAGTGATTTAGTAGCTTGCCCTGACGGCTGCTCACGAAACTTTATCAGAAGATGCTTATCCGTAGATCATCAACTACAAAATCACCGACAAATCAATAAACGTGTCATCCTACCGTACGTAAAGAATATATCAGAAATCACGACAAGATTACTGAGACCACTTGGAATTGATGTGGTTCATAAACCAACGAATTCGCTCCAAACAATATTATGCAGACCGAAGGGTGTAACAACCAAAGAAGACAAACCGAATATTACTTACAAAACCAACTGTAATAATTGTAGTCAACACTACATTGGACAAAGTGGTCGCCCTCTTAGCCTTCGTCTAAATGAACACCAGTTGGCTACTAAACGTCACACTCAACATTTCATCAATCATTTCGATGCACGTGGGTAATTGTGGACATGAATCGACTTTCGACAGTGTAGAAATCTTGGACGGAGAGAGGAAACACATAAAGAATGTCATCAGAGAAGTCCTAGAAGCCTGGCATTCAGGTCAGTCAGTCAGCAATCAATAGATGTATGACATAGACCCAATCTATCAACCAATGAGAAAAATGATAAACGACGGAAAGGTCAGAGGTCAAGCAAAGGAACAACCAACAGGAAAAGCTATACAGCCAATGACACAACAATCAAAGGGAACAACTAATCACAAACCAGTCCAGTCAAAGCAAGCAAGGTACTAAATTATTCATAGAGAGGTATTGACAGCTCACTTCCTACTGAAGTTAGTGCTGGTGATGTCACTGTCTAGAAAGACAATGAAAGCTTCACGACTGAATAACCCAAACTCAAGTCAATTCAGCCTAACCTCGCCTGGTTAACTAGTTTACTAGTTACTAGCCGGTCCTAAGCCCGGGTAAAGAGGGAAGGTTGGGCATAGGGCTAGCAACCCTACCCCGTAAAACAAATCTAACCGCTAAAGAAACTTCAAAGCACAAACAAAATATAAAAAATGAAAACAAACTTATTCCCCGCTGGAATCGGAGAGGCGAAATTACGCCAGTTGGTGAAAGCCTTCGGGAAGCCAATTGGCCGATGTGTCTTCTCTCGATGAAAGCGAAAGTAAACGTGGGGACATGGAATGTCCGCACGATGTTTGAACCCAGTAAGGCAGCCCAGATTGCAAAGGAGATGAGAAGGTATAACATAGAAGTGCTTGGGATTTGCGAAAGCAGATGGAATGGGAGTGGACTCTGCAAACTGTCAACTGGAGAATCAATAATCTACTCCGGTCACCCAGACGCCAACCACGAGCACACTGAGGGAGTGGCTATCATGATGTCCTCAAGAGCATCGAAGGCTCTCATGCAGTGGGAACCAATCTCCTCCAGGATCATGACAGCAAGATTCAACTCAAAAGGAAGAAAGGTCACAATCATACAATGTTATGCACCTACAAATAATGCAGAGCAAGAGAAAAAGGAGGAATTCTACAGACAACTTCAATCAACACTGGACAAGACGCCAGTTGGCGATATCAAAATTCTGATGGGCGACATGAATGCCAAACTGGGAGGGGACAACACAGGAAGAGAACTAACCATGGGTCGAGAGGCGCTAGGTGAAATGAATGAGAATGGAGAATTGTTTGCAGAATTCTGTGCATTCAACGATTTGGTGATTGGAGGCAGTGTGTTCAGGCACAAGGATATCCACAAAGCGACATGGACTTCACCAGATGGACACACTAAAAACCAAATCGACTTTATCTCAATCTCAAGAAAATGGAGACGCAGTCTACTTAACACAAGGTCAAGAAGAGGAGCAGATGTAGGTTCAGACCACTATCTAGTGCAAGGAACCTTCCAAATCAAGTTAAAAGCCTTCAAGGAAGCTGGTGATAGACCTCAATTCAAGTACAACACTAGGAAACTGAAGGATGAAACTACAAAGGAGATCTTCAAAGCAGCCATCAAGACAAAATGGGAGGCATCGAGCAACATCCCTGAAGAAACCTGTGTGAAAGAACACTGGAAGTCTTTGAAAGAGATATGGAAAGAAACCTGCACAGCCGTATTAGGAAGGAAGAAGAAAGAAGACAAGGAATGGATCTCGACGGATACCTGGAAGCTGATAGAGGAGAGGAGGATGGTGAAGCAGAAGATAAACCAGTGCAAGGATGCTCAACGACAAGAGGAACTGAGCACAATGTATAAAACACTGGACAAAGAAGTGAAGAAGAGTGCACGCAAAGACAAAAGACACTTCTACGACACACTGGCAAGTGAAGCAGAACAGGCTGCAGGTAAGAGAGACCTGACGACATTGTATCAAATAACCAGGTTGCTATCAGGGAAGAGACCAACACAGATGAAACCAATAAAAGATGAAGAAGGAAATTTAATTACAAAAGAAGAGAAACAGAGGAAACGATGGGCCGACCACTTCAAGAAGCTCTTGAATCGACCACCACCTGCACTTCGTCCAGAAATACCACCTGCAGCCGCTGAATTACAAGTGAACATTAATCCCCCAACGAAAATGGAAGTCCTGAACGCCATAAAGCTACTGAAATGCGGGAAAGCAGCAGGACCAGATGGAATACCGCCAGAAGCACTGAGAACAGATGCAGAGACAACAGCGGACATGCTCACACCACTATTGCAGAAGGTGTGGAAGGAAGAGAAGGTACCGGACGATTGGAAGAAGGGTTACCTTGTCAAACTGCCGAAGAAGGGAGACCTCAGTGCTTGCAAGAACTGGCGCGGAATCACTCTCCTGTCCACCCCAAGTAAAATATTAAGCCGCATCATCCTGGAGAGGCTAAGGGATGCGCTGGATTCAAAACTACGACCGGAACAGGCAGGCTTCAGGAAGTACAAATCATGTGCGGACCAAATTGCAACACTTCGTATCATCATAGAACAGATAATAGAATGGCAATCAGCTCTATACCTCAACTTCATCGACTTTGAGAAGGCCTTTGACAGCGTCGACCGAGAAGTAATTTGGAAACTGCTTCAATACTACGGAGTACCGCAAACCTTTATCCACCTCATTCAACAACTATATGAAGATGCCACATGCCAAGTAATCCACAATGGGAAGCTCAGTGATGCTTTTGAAGTGAAGACAGGAGTGAAACAAGGTTGCCTACTATCCCCCATGATATTCCTTATTGTGGTGGACTGGATCATGCAGCAAACAGTAGGCAGCGAGAAGAGGGGGATACACTGGACGACGGAAAAGAACCTAGAAGACTTGGATTTCGCCGATGACTTATGCCTAATGTCACATAAACTTGAAGATCTGCAGGCAAAAACTAACAAGTTGATAGAAGAGGCAGAGCAGCGAAGACGGGACTTCAGGTGAATATAGAGAAGACAGAAGTGATGAAGATACCGCACCACCACCATCAACAACAACAACAACAAACTCCAATCACCGTCAACGGGAGAAACTTAAAGGAAGTAACCTCCTTCACTTATCTAGGAAGCACTGTTTCAACTACAGGCGGGACGGACGAGGACGTCAAAGTCAGAATCGGAAAAGCAAGACAGGCGTTCATTAGCCTGAAACCAGTGTGGAGATCTTCTGCACTCAGCATGCGGAACAAGATACGGATTTTCAACACCAACGTCAAGTCAGTGCTCTTGTATGGCTCAGAGACTTGGCGCGTCACGAAAGCCATTTCCAATAAACTACAGACATTCATCAACAACTGCTTACGCTCGCTACTGAAGATCAGATGGCCAGAAAAAATAAGCAACAAGGAACTCTGGGAACGAACCAACCAAGAACCTATCACGCAACAAATATGCAGGAAGAAGTGGAGATGGATTGGCCATGCACTGAGAAGGCCGACTGAGGACATCACGCGTCAGGCCCTCGAGTGGAATCCCCATGGGAAGCGACGAGTTGGACGTCCGAGGGTGACATGGAGGAGGTCATGCGAGGAGGAAATGAGAGCTTCTGGGCTGTCGTGGAACCAGGTTCAAAAGATCTCAGAGAACAGAGGTCACTGGAGGCGTGCTACTGAAGCCCTATGTTCCACTAGGAACCCAAGGGACTAATAATAATAATAATAATAAGTCAATTCAGCCTAGACTAACTAAATATTCCTTCTTCCTCACATATCCCATCTTCAACTTGTTAAAAAGACAATGAATCAAGCCAGTAGGAGTTGAATTTAGGTCACAACAATAAGGTGTCATCACTTTTTCAATGGAGACTGTTCATCTCACTTAAAAGATATTACGTTGACAAATATTTGTACAATGTTGCTTCCAAGCAGGTAAAAGTTAGCTAGTCAAATACTCTTCATATCATAAATCGCAATCATCAATACACATACATACAAAGCTATAATTTAGGCATGCCTCTTACAGTTAATGATCCAACTCTTGTGTACTCACTAGTTTTTGTGAAGTCATAGGGAGAGAGAGAAAGAGAGAGTTACCATACAAAAGATAGGTAGATAAGAATATTAAAGAATTATCGCTTCTTGAGAACATTCACCTTAAGATTTGTAATTAACGCCTCTTATAAAATGTAACAGATGTATACATTATGTAATCATGATGTCCCTGATGTCATCAGGCAGAAAAAGACATCCAACATTTGAATATACGTCATGATGCTAGTCAGTCTAAAGCTTCTAAATCAATCTCCCGACGCTTACAACACTAACGCTATCAGACAAGTAACCTTGAAAATTGTGAGGAAAGCAATCTTCTTGCTATGACATTAGAATATAGGCACAAAAAAGATTGAGAAAAAGAGGTTTGACAACCGAATCTTTGTTCACCAAATCAACACTTAATGCATGCAACAGGATTGACTCAAGTACCTATTCCAAACATATATGGGAAATCTTACCTACTAAGTAAATTACAAAGAAGGCGAGAGAATTAGAACTATATGAACAATGTCTTAAAGTTGTAGGGTTATCTTGATATGATTATAGATAATGAACTGTGTCCGAAACGTAATCCATTAAACAATACTGATCCACTGTGTGATACATCTAATCAACCAACTAAATAGGAATTAAGTCACAGTGAATTTGAAATCAAATAATTCCAACGTTTCGCACAGAAGTATAGTTCGAGCTTCTTCAGGGGAAAAAATCGAAATCAAGGATATATGCAAATGAATTCATAAACGTGTATTAGATCCAGGAAAAAGTTCTGAAGTCCTTGGAATTATGCTTACGATCGACTCTATTCACGTTCAGAGGAGATTTGTACCGACAGATAGATGTTATAGCAATGAGATCTTCAGGATCACCAATAGTAGCTTACTTGCTCATGCATTCTTTAGAGACAAATACAACAGCGAATTGCTTTACACCTTCAAGAATTTGGATAAGGTATGTAGACGATACATTTGACATCATCAAGTGAAATAGTCTGGATGAACTCCTCTTCTATCACATAATGTGTGCAGAAGCATTACTTTCACCAAGAAAATTGAACTCAACTTGTCGAAATTAAACTTTATGGACTGTATGACGGAAAGACAGGATTACAACAAACTAAAGACTAAGATTTTTAGAAAGACAAAACATTCTGAAAGATACCTCGATTATCAGTTAGCACATCCTATGACCACCAAAGTAACCGTCGCACGGAATCTAATCAACAAGGCTAGCCGTTTCGTTACAATGAAAGAGGATAAAGAAGAAGAGTTAAATTCAATTTGTCACACACTGGAAGCAAATAATTATCCTAAAGGTTTCATTAAACGTATTTTTAAAAACGAAATTAAGGATACGCCGAAACTCCCTCCGAAGAGCTGGATAAGCACTGTCACATTTCCATACCAAAAAGAGACTTCAGAAGAAATAAGAAGGATTCTCAACAAACACGACATAAGAGTTTACTTTTGTGTAACAAATACCCTAGGTTCTAACTTAATGAAAGTAGTATCTAAAGAAAATCAACAGGATTGTGTTTATGAAATCAACCGCGGAGATTGTACTGCAGTAGATGTATGGGAAACAGCCAGGTAGGTAAATGTGAGAGTCAAGGAGCATAAACCATGCTTAAAACAAATACTAAAAACCTCAGCAGAGGTTAAGAAACTAGAAAAAAAAAATCCGCAATCGCGCTACACTCCATTGAAATGGGACACAAAATTGACTTTAACGGAACTAAGGTTCAACCAAAAGGTTTTGGGTCATACCAAGAAAAATTGACAACCGAAGCCCTACATGTATAGACGAATCCAGACAGTTTGAACAGATGGGATGGAGTTACACTTGGTTAACTTCCTCTTGGTAATTATCAATTAGTAAGCAGAAAGAGTGACTCGAAGCATTTACCGTCAACACCAGTCTCAATTTCATTGATTGATTTGATTCATTACTACTATCATCATCACTATCATTAGTCATTTCCACTCTTTTTCCGATAAATCAATGAGAAAAAATCTGTTAATACTATTCACCACCATATTCTAACTGAAACTGTATACATATCCGCTTCATCCATTCCATTGTAAAATTACCGAATGACTATAATGTCACCTGTGGTTCTTTTTGTCTGATATTTACAATCAAGGCGAATATGAATTGGAATACATACATACATACACACACCATACAACAAGAGACATACAATTTCACACTGAACGATCAGTTATCATAATTTAGACAATGACTATACGAAGAGGATTGGATAAGGAGATGAAATACACGTTTTTTTTGGATTCATTTATATATCCTTCATATTTTAATTTTGATTATTTATTTATGCTTATATTTCTAACAATTGTTTGTATGGAAATAAATAACCACAATCATATTGAGTTACTTAGACCGTAATATCACACACAGAGAAAAAGGACATTGTGATGAGTGCATACGACCCCAAGAACCGCCAGTCCAGTAAAGTCAGAATATGTAGGAACTACATGATGGATGATGATGATGATGAATTCAAAGCCTCTGCTGTGTTACCATATAAGGAAGGCACCTCAGAAGCATTACGGAGAATTCCCACTAAGGCTAGGATTAAAGTGGCAATCAAACCAACAAACTTGCTTAGAAACAAGTTTTATAGGTTAAAAGATCCTATCGATGCAATTAAGCAAAATAATCTGGTTTACCAGATCCCTTGCAATGATTGCGAGGTCAAGTACATAGGTCAAAGCAGTCGACCAGGGTCGATTAGAATAATAGAGGACAAAAAGTTAGCTAAATCAAGATTAGTAGATCCTAATAAGATAAGAAATATAGAGAAAAGCTCGGCTACAGCTCTGCATGCGATGACACACAATCACACAGTAGGATAGGATAGGGCGACAGTGTTGAAAACTAACTTAGTTGGGTGGAAGAAGAGATTGATAACCAAATCTTTGTCTATCGAATCAACACCAAACACATGCAATCGAAATGATTCTGCACCTGTCCCAGATATATGGAAAATCCTACAGAGAAGGAAAGAAAATTAGGAGTATATAAAGTCTGTCTCAAAGTTGTGGAGTTAGCTTCCTCATATGAATATGGACAATAAATTGTGTCCGAAACGTTATCCAGTAAATGCTACTGTTTCACTGTGTGATATTTCTAATAAACAGACTAAAATGGAATTACAATCGACCACAGTGCCCAAGTTTTACTCTTATATATCATAGATGCTAGGTGAATGATCATTTTAATGTTGTTCCTTGTATTATCCTGTTGTTGAGTCGATCGAATTGACCGGTCTCTACTGGCATATGGGTTCTGGTATTTGAAGCGATCGGTGCAGAGTTCAAAGTCCCAGTGGGAACAATATCGCTTACTGGGAAGCAGACACATCCAGTTGACGAGTACCAAACAGGACGAAACGCGCGTCCTGGATTCCACGACTAGCTACTATTCATCATGAATAATTGTTTTGCATAAGTCATTCAACACAAACTCAATAAAAATGCATTACATTATGAAAGAATGATCTTACATACTACTAAACTAATAAAACACAAAGGAAAAACTGATTGAAACCAGATAAACAATGAAGATTATCTATTGCGTAAAAACACATTGTAACACAAAAAAATTTACCTCAAATCCAAGTCTTTGAATAATACGAGCATATTTTCTTGCTGCTAATCTTGCTTGCTCTTCACTTTTAGCTCCTGTACATACCATTTTACCAGAGGAGAAAATTAAAGCAGTTGTACGCGGTTCACGAATACGCATGATAACAGCAGCAAAACGTTTAGGATTGTACTCAGCATTTCTAGCACTAAGTGCAATATTCTTTAAGTTTAGCTTACATCCCAAATAAACTGTACATACAATATTCCTTAAGGAGGAGGCGGGGGGGGGGGGAAGGAAATAAGTTAAATTAACAATATGATTTACGTATCCAAGGTGAAAATTACAATAAATAGTCAAAATTGTAAATAACTGCTATAGTAAAAAGAAAGGGATTGCATAACCTAACTTCTATAACATTTTAGATAACACACAGAATCGATCTCTAACAGAATCGTGGATTATGCAGTACAGATTTTATGATCATTGCGGCAAGTGTATCAACAGTCAATTACTGAAATGTCTTATCTAAGCTAAATTTATTATACAAAGTAAATCCGATGGTCGCTGATTCGAATCTGGCCATAGTCTAAATTTTCATTACACCCGGAATAAGGTAATCTAGCAACTATTCAAAGCATCTCTGACATGATAAGTGAGGATTGTGTACTTAGATCCCCGCAAAGACTCAATAAAGATTATTATCAATACCTATGAAGTTAAAGGTGAACAATTGTCTAGTGTTCTCTGGTTACTTGTATCATTTTGACGAATATCGTTGACATAACATTCAATTGCAAGCAAAATATAGTGCGGAATTAATGAAAGATAACTCAGCGAAGAAAATCTCCTCGATGAATCATTTTCAGGATTTTACTTTATAACTGAACAATAAACATCAGTCAATATGACTGGTGTAGGTAAATGAATGCTTAGTATTGAAACCAGTGAATACTTCAATATGTTGTACTGTAATAAAGATTATACACCAGCTTCCACTTTCATCACTTAAATGAATTATAACCGACTAGAGAACGCTATAAACACTTACTCAGTTTTTAATGTACATAGCGTAACATTTTATACATCCATTTAGTTAGTAGCTCACTTTGTTTTCTGAGGAGAGAAAAGAAAAGATGCAATCATTCCAATCTTGAATAAACATGTAAGCACAATTATCTATTTTTTTCTTCCTATAGGTGCAAAGGATATTGCCTAAGACCAATAAGCCCTGAATGGCCGACAAAATCTCTGCTGCGATACAGAAGACTCAGTTAACTTTTGACAACTTACGCCATCTGTGGTGCCACCACAATACTTGATTGTCTATTAAGGGTCAACTGTAATGTGCTGCAGTCTACTTTATGTCTGTGAAACATGCCCATTAAAGGTAGAAGACATGAGAAGGCTTCAGATGTTAGACCATCACTCCCTTTGTAGCATAGGCCGTGTTTCATGGTGTCACTACGTGAGTAAGACGGAAGTGAAGCGTACAGCTTAAGAGAGGAGAGGTAAAACAGTTGATGCTGTTGTGAACCTTCACTGACTGAGATTGCTGAGATATGTGTTATATATGCCTAGTCACCGTCTGCCTCGTCACACAATGTTGGTCGAAGTAAATTCAGGCTGGAAAACGTCTCAGGGCGACTAGACTTAAACATGGCATCAATGCATGAAGTCCTTGACTAGCCAGTTGGTGTCCACAAGACAAGAGAAACCAGTGGTTGGAGACGTTAGGTGATGGTATGGTTCAGAACCGTAGATATTTACATACATTATAGGCATCTTAACCACCATGCTTAATCACATCATTTTCGCACTCCCCTTTCCTCTCTTTTACCACTTCTACTTCTCTTGACTGGATTTTCTTTTCTTCCTCACTTTCCGTTTCATCACCTTGTTACTTGATATGGTGATATGAGGTGTGACAATTTGGACCGTTACGTAATAATGTCTGGTCCTATGTTGGTCTCGATGATGATGATAATCTGAACTTATATTTTTCAATTAGAATAAATCTGTCCATCCATTTTTCGCCTACGTGCTGCATGATTCATTTCCCCATTAGTGGATCGCTATTGTTCCATTATATCCAGTAAGTAGTTCATTCAATTACGGGAATAAATAATAATTGTGAACAGTTCATCAATATCGTTTAGCATTCTTGGTGAATGGATACCAATAATACCTTTTCACTGAACTGCTTAAAATGTAAGAAAATAAATCGAAAAAATTGAAACGCCTTAAGTCTTGTGCACATTAGTGTAGTGGGCACTTAACCAACATCATACTACCTGACTTCCCAAACTTCAGTAGGTGAAATGGTGTTCAAACCTGTTACCTATCAGTTGAAAATCAATAGGTCATAGCTCCGAAAAGAACGCGGAAAGTATTACTATTTCAATTGTAGGATTTCTTGAGTTAACAGGCAAGTGTGGGGTTTAATTTACCCAAATTCAAATGATAGTACATAGTTTCGTTTTTAAAAAAAAACTATACAATTCGACCTCAGGAATACATATCATCTTTTCAGTTTATATATCATCGATACGAAAGCTCATATCAACATGATGTCTACTCTGATATATCTCTTTTTCTACTCACCTGTTCTTTGTATGCTATTATGAAGTGTAGCAACTTAAACCGATGCAGATCTGTATGAGGTACTACGTTAGTTTTGCCGATAAAGTGAGATTAAATCGTTCAAATAAATTTCAATTACATCTTCGTACAATAAAAGCTTGTGCTTTTCATATTAAGCAGTTTGAATTCAATGTAATTAAACGTTTTCTCAATCTCTTATGCTATCATAGACATAGTTTTCTAATTCTCTGATGTTTGCGCAATAATTTTCTCTCTTTAACCGAACAGTTCATCTTTTTTTAAAGTTGGTGGTTTCAGTTCATGTTATCAACTAAAAAGATGACCATTTCAGTGTTTTTCATCACAAAAAAGGAGTTGAAACAAATACCCTAAACAGGGTAATGAGCAAAAATTGATTCTAATTCAATAAACTGAAGTGTGTAAGTGCATTCATGGAGATTACTTGAAGATCAAGTTACAGGATAAACACTCATACTGTTCCTACTATTGAAACAAACTTTTCAAAGTGTTAGAAAGAGTGTTATCCAGCTGATGAGTCCCAAATAGGACGAAACGTGCGTCCTGAGTTCCACTACCAGCTATTATGAGTATATTAGAAAGAGTGTGGCCTGCAATATGATCGTATACAAATGATGAATTCACAATATGAACTTATTTTATTTCATAAAATGGATTACTACAATGCAGAGAGAAATATTCAGTTACATTTATGTAGTATATGTTCTTTTCGTATTCCTGTATGTCAAAACTGTATTACGTAAAAACATAGTAGGTAATGATGAAAGATGTGATGCCTATATCACTTATATTTCATACTTAAAGTTTGGGTATATTTGAACTGTCTTACTTCAATCTCTTTTTACAGCACATGGATCATATTTCATATAACCCGCTAGCGTTCTGATTGGCTCTCGTCTCTTTAAATGAACCAATTATCCTTGACTCTCAAGGTTACTGTAAACTCTATAAATAGGATCCGTTTTCACTTATAAACGTTTTCAGTCCGAGATACTATAAACTCATCTGATTTCTAGTCTCTTGATTTCTTGTTTGCGAATCACTCAGGTTGAATCGTCTCAAACCTCGACTAGCAATCATTAAGTCGTTTGGTTTATTCTCACAACTCCGCATCATAACAAAAATAAATATCAATAATAGTTTATCAACTAAACAGGTAGATAGATACGAAAAACCTATAAGTGAAAAAAAGTCCATCTCAAAGATTTAAAGACTGTACAGTGTGAAACAATCCAGTCCTAGGGAGATGTTTTCTGTTATATTTTCTTGTATACACAAATAGTGTAGGACTACACAAAACAGATTAGTACAATAACATGGTTTTCTATCTTTAAATACACAAAAATGAATCATACCAAATGAAATGACAATGATTAGAATTCACTTACTTTCGTTGCACATACTGAACGTTATCCTAATGTATTAGACGAATGGAAACTATTGTAGAATGATTACCGACTTTATGTCGCCCGCAAAACAGACCTAATATGGCCGAAGGTAGAGAGATGATTGTATTTTCATATTCTCCGCACTGACAGCCTCTACCAAAAAGCCCCTACTGACTCCTCTTACGTGAGTGGAGGGTGTTTCCATCGTAGTGAAGGGGCGAAAGCGAATGGTAGACACTATAACCAGATTGGTGTACACGAAGGGGAAGTTGGAAAATTCAGATTCTAAACCGGTGGATCAATGGCATGTGAACCTAACTTGGACGCTGAAAACTATGGGAATGCAGTATCTCACGTTGCTGCGTTACCCTGTGAATCAGAAGGAAGGTAAGAGACTCAGCAACCGGTCCCTTCAGATGACCGCTTGCTTCGGCATGGGTGTGCGAGTAGCCTGACAGTCTGTTTACAATTTATGAATCAACATTAACAATAAATACTTCAAAGTGACCATCAAATCTTCATGCAAGAAATTAAATTCGTCGCGTAACGAACTTCCCAGTCAATCATTTTAGTTAATGTCTTCATCACGTCATCATTTTTACATGCGAAGTATACTGTCGTTTCTTTAACTTTTTCAAATGTATCCTTGCGTATTTTTTGTTTTACTCAATTACTTATCACTGACTAAACATTTTGTGTTTGCAACTTTATCAGCGACAAAATCATTGGTTCCAGAAAGCTCTATTTCACTGCGAGATGATAAAACTATTTTGAAACCGAGCATACCACTTAGGTTGGTTGCCATCAGCGTTTAAGACCTTGACGATGACCAGACAGATTCAGCCAGTACTCATTATTGACGTGCGCTGTAAATCAGATGGTCATGAACTAGATCCCAGTTAGGTGGTTCGAATGTCCCCCCCCCCCAGTTACCACCTCAAAAGGGATCTTTGCCACGCACTCATTAGAGACCCAGTGGCGTCAGAATCTGACTTTCCTGGTGTTGGTACCACGCTTAGCACCAGAGCTAAAGCTGCATTAATTAACTACATTCCCGTCAACAATTTTCTGTTTGCCGGTAGACTAGAAGAAGGCTCAACTGAAGTGAAAAGTGACTGTAAAGGGAAATGACACCTCTTCGTCGTTCTGCCTATGTCTTCAACTGATTGCAGTCTGAAAAACATCAAGCTGATAAACACTCAGTTTCAGCAAACGTTTGGTTACTGCTTGATGCTCTTTGGTGCAGCGAGTACAATAT